AAATAAACGGCTGTCGAGTGAGCTCTGACCTCTCTACGGCGGACACAGTAAGCGTTTTAACTTGGACTTGTACCACCGAGCGGATAGAAAATAAATAGTTTGAAGTGCATTAATGAAACGTCATGAAGTTGCACTTTTGTTTCAGTGGAATTTGTAAGTTGAGACAGACTGACGAACAGGAATCCACCCAATGGTTTTGTTCACTTACAAAATTGTTTTTTGAATAATAATGTATATTCTAGCCAAATTCTATTTGGAATAAAGGTATACAAACCAAAACATATGATTTTATGGTTTTCAAATCCGATTGTTACACAGTCATCACAATTTAAATATTTTTACCCAAAATTCAATTAGGCTATTGATAATCATGAAGTCGTTTCTATGAGTTCTGTTCAATAGAATATTCAAATCATTGGTAAGATTTGACACCAACATAAAAAAATATCAGTGATTAATTATTTATAAAAATGTGTCAGCCTTAATGATTATTCGATTCTAAGCGAGAGATTGCAAACATTTATTGCACTCAAAAAATCGCTGTAACTCGTACATAAGTCAAAACAATAACAGCATTTATTATTATCGTATCGCATAGGTACTTCGTAATAATTGCCTAGGTTAGTATTAATTCTATATAACCCAATTACCTACTTAACCTATTTAAAATCCGATTAAGAGAGCGAAGCCTAAATAATGAACACTGACAAAAAATGTTCTTTAGGTACACCCTGTCATTGGTTGCCTGGCAAACATTTGTTAAGCATTTCACTTCAAATTAGGATAGAGTATAATACCATATAAAATATGATTCGTGACCAAAATTTTCCAAATACCGATTAATCTATGTTCCTATTAGGTAATTCCGACATTAGTTAGGTGGTTGTGACACGAAACAGCAAAGACGAAACAAGAAAATTCTACTACAAAAACTATTAACATAATTAAATATTTTATTAGAGCTGTAATATAACCGTGAAGGTCTTGACAATTTAATGCTGATGGTTTCAAATACACGACTTGTTCGTCCCGTCACTTGATATTATAAAAAAATCTAGCCCATTCTAATATGTTTTCAATCGAGATAACGCACGATTAACCCTAGTAGTCTGCTATTTCCACCACGACGTAGTGTATAGACAACATATCGCTAGGTGCCTATAGTTTCGTTCGTCATGTTTTGTTCGGAGCAATCGTACCTTTAAATCCCTTGGGGCGTTCTTTGGTTTAACGAGCGTGTCAGGCTAGAAATAAAATTCAATTCCATCCATTTGTGGTAATTGGTTTTCAGGTGGTTTTACATGCTGTCGAACATCGTTAGACTTTTGTTGGACTTTGTATTTGTTGCACATTTGCCGGTTGCAACACTTATCATATGTCTCGTTCATGCAAACATTTGATAATAAAAAAAATTCTAAAAAGCAATTTTTTGAATCCATAATATATCTTTTTGGATAATATACACTACAATGTGCATATAACTAAAAATAAACGCCTGGATTAAATGAAGAGCAATGCGCCGATGTAGACTAGTTGCTACTATATTTTGAGAGGGTGCTCTTCCTGATCACTGTTTCCTGTAAATGCGTATTATTTAGATTTGTCTTGTTTATATTACACATCTCATGAGCATCAGCTAATTTTATTATTAAGACTTTACATGATAAAAGAAAATATTTTTTTTATTGCTGCTACTACGACACTCACAAACTATTTAGTACAGCGTACATAAAGTACAATATTAGAAAGATAATTTATTTATTACGAAGTAAACTCAGAGTGTACTTTAATTTCTTGCTTCAACTTGGCAAAATTCGTTTTGTAAATACGAATAACTTACTCAGTTCGCCATTTTTGTTAAGTCAAAGTCAACATTCGTTTTATGAATATCAGCAAAAGATTGTGGTTAACTTAGACTATGGATTTTTTCCATCCTCTAAGGTCGCTAATGATTCGTTTATAAAAAAAAAACTTAAAACCTAACGTGATCCTCTTGTTTATGATTTATACAAATATTATTTAGATGATTGTGACGACAAAGACTAAACACGGCGTCACAGTCCAGTATAACGTGCATAATGTAAACGAGCTGAGTCTATATTATAATGCTTGCCTATGCATAAAATTGAATTTAAATCAGCTAAGACGAAAATTAAAGCACATCCAGGTCAATTGAGTGAAAATTCCGACGACTCTCCAACTTCTCAGCCTCTCGTTCCGATCGTCGACTCGGATACCGGATCTAACTCGATTATTGATAGCAAGCCGAAGTTCAAGCTTGTATCGTGAATATATCCTTCAATGAGCTTAATAATAGTACTGTCAATTACACCAATTCATCATTCATTATTCTGCCTTTGTGTGACTCAGTCGGGTTTACGTACAAGTCAACCTCGATTAAATTCTATATTTTGACTGTTTTTGTGGCACAAAAGTGTCGCGCTGTGGGTCAGGTAACTTATTAATACCAATAACCTACTTTATCGTACGCTTGTAGTAAAATATTAGCTTAATAAGACAAGTATGACAACTCCATATAAACGTAGCAGCGCGGTTTATATGTGTACACCACCGCTGACGCGCACCGTATACGGACGCACACATTCGCATTAATAAAGAAAAGGAGCGCGAGACGACTAACGCTATGCAGCACGAGTACATCGCGACATTTTGTGAATGTTGCGTGTACACGGCGCGTGACGGGCACGCATACATACAAGTCACGCAACTATACGTTTGTATGGAGTTACCACAGACCACATACATTCTTTCGTGGGAGTTACCATACTTGTCTTGTTATACTATGGTAAGACCGACCATTGACGTCACAAATGGATTGTCCCTATCGCATGTCAATCCCTAAATTAAAACAAAACATGCGTCATCATCCATCACGCCCCGTCACTATGTATATGTATATCTCTTTAATTTACTTTACAAATGACTCTGGGGAATTGTGTAGGGTGTAACAAAGAGGTGTGTGTGACCATCCGACAGCTGGTGATCGCATTCAAAAAACAAGTAACTTTAACAAAAAGAAAACAAAATTTAATTTCGTTTAAAAAAATATTGCTTTTCTTTTAAAAATTTGTACAGATATTGTGTAATTAAATATAATAATGATAATAATAATAATAATATGAAATTATATTTTCAGATCTAAATCGAGTGTATTTGTTATAAAATATTACATATGCGATTTAAATCGGAAAAAGTAGATTCATTTTCAATGTGCAACAAAACGAACACTGACAACTGTATAATAATAATATGCACATATGCTACAGACAAGGTCTCAAAACTAGGGAATTTTCTGTAAGTACCAGCTATGAAAACTTCACGGCACCACCCGGAGCATCCAACCAATACTAGAGAAGTTTGTTTTTCAAGTTTGTCCTACCGGAATTGAATAGTGGACTTCCTTATATAGCGTTTACAATGCTTATCGCTGGGCCTCCGAAGACGTCAAATAACATTTATACGGAAACGGTTTTAATATTTTATTCAGGTTAGGTTAAACAAACTAATCTTCTACTACTTTACTTCTTCTTTTCTACTTTAATTTTCTGAAAAGTTATTATCTGAAAATGGGTGAAAGAATAATGTTAAACAAGCCACTGGCAATATTTGTTGCGAAATTTTTATATTATTAATTTAACCATAAGATTTAGAGAAAACAAGTGTAAAGTTTTTGAAAGAAAATAAATAAAGTCTGCCGCCCTTAGTTGAAAGAAAGGGCGTTTGTGACAAAATTCACAACCGAGTTGTTTTTGCACTCGAACCAGTTATGTTAAAAGAAATCAAATTAAAAAAAATCTATATATCTTTTTCCTTGCGGCAACTTCATCCCTTATCAGTTTAGGATAAAATAAAAATTGTGACAGGTCGGCCTGTTTTTGCCGATCAAATTTTTTGAAAAAATGTCACATGCGCTCTTTCAATTAACGGCGGCAGCGGCAGAAGTGCAAACACTTCTGGTGTTTATTTCACTGTATTTTTTTTACTTTAGTATTAACAATTCAATATAGCGACATCTTTGTTAGTTTCCTGGTAGCTATAAAAGTACATGGCTGAGGGAAGAAACACAGTTGTTTACAAATATTATAAAGATTCGCAACAAGTACATAGACATACATATTCGTAAGATCTGCTGGCTCGATCCGTAGCGTAGTTGGCAGCCACGTTAATGAGACAGACGCTGGTTCGAATCCAGTAGGGTCGTAGGAATTTTTCATTATGTATGTTCGATATTTGTATCAATAATAATAACAAAGTATAGGAATATTTTCACAAAAAATAGATAAATATCACGGTACCTAGTGAAAATAAGTAATGATATTCAATATAAATAATATAAAGTAAAAAAAATAGCGCAAACGAGGGGACGGCTTGGCAGAGCACATTTTTATCAATGTATATTTTATGCTATTGCAATTTATATAAGGTATAAATTTCAATGCTCTGAGATGCAGAGATAAATGTGCCGCGAGGTCCATAGCTGAGCTACTCAGAAAAATGCGTCAATTAATAAAATGATTTCAATAATTTTGCAAATAAGTAGTAATAATAACGCGTTTGCGCGTTAATAATGTCAGGGAAAACCAGACAGATTTGGGGCTCACCACATTTATTCACACGAAATTGCCTTGAGACGGTCAGAAAAATCTTTATGACCGTGCAATTTTCGTTTCGCTTCCGCTCGGATCGCCGACGCGAGACGCACAACGTCATTTTCGCTCTTATTACATGGAAATAATTTTTTCTCTGACCAGCTTAATGCGAATCAGTGTCGATAAGTGAGGTGACTCCCTTACCTGGTTTCACATAGGGGAATTCCTTGTATCATGAGGACCTGAGCAATGAAATTTACTTCGGGTACTACCCAGAACACCCAGATAGAAAAGTTCATTTCCCAAATTGGTCGTACAGGTAATCAAACCCGGGACTTTTGAGCCACTGAAGTCATCAAAATCACGTCAAAAATAATATTACAAACTTACCATTACAATCAATGTAGAGTGCTAGAGTGATTTTTCCAGTCTCTATCTTTGCATCTGAAAAAAAAAGGAAATAAATTATGGTACAATTTTAATGGGAATTTTAAATAGACATGTATTTTATTTCGTATAAGCGCCCAATTATCACGCTTTTACGTACATTAATGGCAAATCTGAATTCTATTTACTAGGTAACAACATTTACATTTATCGGAATAATACAACTGCGCGGTCGCCGCATACACCAAAGACACGCCCGCGCGCCCGGTACCCTCATTTAAGTCAAAACGTAAAAACTATATAAATAGAGCGTATTTTGCCATGACAGTTAGACGCAAGCGGTCTCTGTGCAGCGGCCGCGCGGCGTGAGTGCGATAAAATTCGTATCGAATAAACGCGCCTTAAATGGTGTATCTATGATTTTCATATTGTATTATATGTTTAGTCACAAAAGGTAGGTTCTATTGAATTAATTTGGCTATCACAATACGAGTAGAACTTTGCTGAATCAATGTACGTATAATGTAGGCCTAGATAATAATGGACAACCGGAACAAATGTGTTCGTATATTTATTACTTAACTGGGTTTCCTTCTAACTTCCAGTGGCATAAATTTCAAAAGAAATTAGTTATTAGGCACCAAGGCAATGAGGGATGGGCAGCATATTCGTTTTATATTCGGCATTAGGCACGTTTGCCAGGTTTACCGTAACATTCGTATTCGGTAACAATGTCGAACATTCTGCCGAACTTATTATTACTAAAAATTAAATTGTTTAACCACCTACCTCATAGTCTACGACATAATGTACAAAGATATTAAAAAAATTTATAGGTTCTTTTTTGTTTAGAAAATGAAACTATGTTTTCGGATCTAAATCGCGTATATTTTGTTTTTTTTTTAAATCTAACTAACGTTTACAGGTCCCCTGTCAACCGTGATCATGTTCACTATTGTTTGTTCTTGCACAAATGAGTCACTAAACGAATAAAAGTGATAAATATTAAAATGACACATCGTTTATTTATTTTAATAACTATCAACATCAGTCAGTCCGAGAAAAAGTCACATTTTATATTCGTAAATTAATCGGTAAGGCACACATACAGTAATTTAACTTAGAAACACCTGCACATATCACAAGAGCGGAAGGGTCGAGCGCTTAACACGTACCGACTTTTATTTTACAATTCCGTACAACCCACCGAATAATTCGACCGGATATACGGATCGGTACAATTTTTAACAAATTTCAGCCGACTATTCGTATTCGTTAAAATCCCGATTCGGCCCATCACTATGACAACTTATCGCTCTTGCTGCCTTTTCCACTTTTCATTATTCTTTATAATATATATATTATATAATATATACTTCGTAGTATAATAAGTATTATCTGCTCCTGTGTACCTATAGATCTGCCACTACTGGGCTGGGATATTGTTACTACAATTTCTTTGGCTCATATTTAAAGTTGTAATAAGGTATACACGTAGCGAGACAGGGCGAAGAAAGACGCTTGGAGGCTCCAAATGTTCAACGGCTTTTATTGACGTAGCTGTATGAGCGACATAGGAGACGCTCATCATTTTATGTCAGTCACAAACGACGATTCTATGAGCTTTCATCCAAGTATCCCATCCGGTGGAAGTACTGGAGTGCCACTCATAGGCCCTATGATTCGATATAAAGCAATTTCCTTTTGCAACTTAAATGGTAATTTATTTAACACTTCGATAGCGCGTTATATTTTGATCCCAACGCCATGTAACAGCCAGGCGAGGTTAAATATTTCTTGTACGTGGTGTTACAAAGTGACTTATCTTGATAATGTTATTGACAGATTCAAGACGAGATCAACGGACCTCCGCCGGCCTACGACACAGTGGTTGATCACAATGAACTCCCCAAGGATTGCAACTTACAGGTATGTGATTCCAGAGTCGATCTCATCATTTAATCGCATTATGGAGTTCCTCATATTAGTGTCATAATACTAATACAACTTTGATTTTACCATAGTTCCTTAGCAATTGCTCGTCTCTTCGTTATGCCACTGGTTGTGTTGTCTATACATTTATTGGTATACATTATAATATGCTGTATGGGCGGATAGCGCTAATTAAATTACATGTGTTAGAGAGTGACCACGCTTATCGATACGGAATCGCATTAAGCGTGAAAAGGTTGTAAACCGTCCACATAAATTTATTGTATAATAAGACAGAAGCAAAGGTAAAAGGCAAAAGAAGGCATAACAATAAAAATAGTATAAAACACTGGTACAATATCAAAAACACTCCCTACTTAAATGCTACGAAACATGTGACTAACAGTAAAGAACTTACCCCAAAAGCGCCGTATTTTCTACAAATATTAGTTAAGTTACTTGATTTTAGCGATATTAGATAGATTACATTTTAATTGAAAACTGATAAAACAGATCAGAATTTCTGGTGAAGACGAGTGGAATGCTCGCTTCAGACATTAGGCAGAGAGTGACGACGGAACGAAACAAAGTGAGAATGATGAGGCAAAAGAATTAAAGAACGATTCAAAACTCAAAAATAAGTGACCAAGAATCAGAGAAAAGGTGATAAAAAGGTGGGATGACGATGGAGGAGGTCGCATCATCACAAGAGGGTCAAAAAAGTTTTATATCCATGCAGTAAGAGCGAGAAAGACGTTGTGAATTTCGCGTTTGTGGTCCGAGCGGAAGTAAAATATTCAACGTCGTTGTCGCTATTATTGCAAGGACATAGCGCTTTTTCTGACCAACTCAAGCAGATTCCGCGTTAACAAGTTACTCTCATAAAGTTTCTGGATGGTTTTTCTCAAGAGAATACCCAATATACTGAGCATCATCAACTTGCTCAACCTGTGCGTGGGTTATGGCGAAGTATGATATTTGAGGCATAAGTTATGCTATTACTATAGCAGTTGCAGTTTTTTGTCTGGTCTTTGTTGCTGTTCGTATGTACAATAAACTTATAATATTTTTAATGTGTGTACCGTCGGTGTTTTCTAGAAAGGGCGAAAGCGCCATTTTGATAAATTTTTTAGGGGGCTCGTTTCAATTTTACACACAGTATTAAAATATTTACGTCCTGTTTTAAATTCAATTTTAAAACTTAAACTTAATTAAAACCAAGATATGCAAACACACATAAACACACTCATTTAATTTTTTTAATGTGCAAGTTAATATTAATTTTAAGTACATTTGTACTCAGTCCTTTTAAAAAAGTATGTTTGAGTAAAGGAAGGGCGGAATTTCTTGACACGAGTACTTAATTACAGAGGATGATCCGAACCTTACTTTGTGGCTTATGCCGACTTTGTCTTATTTTTTCAGGAGGTGGTCTCCGAGCCCTGTCCTCGTTGCTGTAACTCTCATAGAAGTGATAGTGGTCTACCATCCTACGAAGTCGCTGTATTACTTCGCGATACCAAGTTATAATATGCCTTGATTTAGCTCCACCATCCAAGCCCATGGACTTGGGCCTCTCTCGTTATGAACCAGTATTTGATTAAAAATATGGTGCTGTAAATGTAGGTGTTGAACGACCCGAATACAAAAGATTGTCCCAACTAGGCAGTTTCACACGCAGTAATGGTTTGATGTTATGATGTGCACTTCGGTGTGGTCAATAGATATTAGTTTTAGTATTAACTTTCTTTTCTCTTTTAAATAAGTGCCTTCCTCTTTGTTTTAAAAAAAGTATATTGTAAGATTTTGTGCTTTCAAATGTCCGGTGCGTGCTTCGCTACTCAATACAGAACGGCATAACGGTGCATTTTCATAAAAGTGAAAAATCGTCTTAATTTTATCATGTGCCATGGTTAACATTGTTAGTGTTACCCTACCAAACGCTACTATAGTATACGTGCAACAATGCTTCCAAGTCATGCTCTTTTTAACTTACACTGTCAAACTCGTATCTTATAAAGAGCGATTATTGAGATGGTGGCATAAATTTCTATTTATTTTACATTTCTCATCAAGGGTGTTAATTTGGATGCATTACTTTAAGAATAGGTAAAAGCCAGTATGTGAATATGAAGGAAATGTGATGTGAAATTAGTCTGCAAATTTGTATATACAATGCATTTTTTGTATTAAAATTACAGTTTGTAAAAGTAAGGCGCCGATATCGCAAATTAATCAACTACGATATAAATGAGGATATACTGCAAGCTATTTTAGCAGTACTAATTATTATTAAGCTTCATAATTGTTTGTTAATTGGAAGCGTATAAACTAAATTGAAAGGCATACATTACAAACCAAACTAATAGGGTGAATCGAAATGAGCCAACATTCGCGTATTACAGACCAGGGTTGTTGCTGATGCAGTTTATTACACATGCTGATTTTATGTATTTCAAACAAAAAAAAAACCGCGACAAATGTAGACCCTTACTGAATCTATGTAACGAAATAGCTTTCTATTTTCTTTGGTATTGTAATAAAATATTATTTCAATCATTTTGTGACATTTATTAACGAAAGAATAAATCTGCATGGAAACAACCAATCTGCCTAGCAGTGGCGAGGCGTGAAAATTGTCTTTGGTAAAGCCGGAGGAAAACAAAAAACACTTGCCTTAACAAGTGGCGCCTTCGCGACAATTAGACAGAACACTTACTAGCACACTTGTACACTTTATTATTTTACACGTAAAATTGAGCACAAACAGTAAATTACTTAAATTACTTTAAAATATAATTATTAATACAAAGATCGAACACTCAGAAAAAACACTCAGAAAAAATTCCTTCGATCCGGTCGGATTCGAACCGACGTGTTCTTGCATACCGTGCCAGACGCTATACCAACTAAGCCACGGAACGAACCAACGGACCTCACGAATTTTTCTATGTGCTTGCGTCGTGTCTTTATACTTGGTCTTTTCAACGACTTTTTAGTCGTACCGCCATCTATGAGAAATCTACAAAGTACAAAGACACGACGCAAGCACATAGAAAAATTCGTGAGGTCCG